AGGAGGCGATTTAGGAGTTCAAATTTATTGTAGCTTCAGTTACTTCAAGTTGCCATAGTTCTAAATGTTATGAAACGTTCCCTTTTCTCCTGCCTGAAAACACATCATAGAGCCTGGTTTACTTCATACTGCATTATCTGCTTCATTTTAAAGCTAACACAGAACCAAAACCGTAGTGACTAAGGACGTCTAAGGACTGGAACCACCTCCTCACAGCACGTCTTTGTTCTCGGATTTTCACAGATGTGATTCCATTTGGAGCTCTCCTGACTTAGCAGTGTCTCACTGCTCCCTGAAAACATGCTAAAGACAAGCATTACGACGGCAGAAAGCATGAGCCTTTCTTAGCCACTTTTGCCCCCCTGAGGGGTGAAGTAAGACCACCCACACCAAGTGTGAACTGCAGGACTTTTTGGCTGAGCTGCAGGAAAGAAAAGGAAGTGCTTTTGTGTAATACTTTGCTGTCAGTGTGATTATGAAATCATGATCAATGCTAAGGCAAGCTTTATGTGAGCCCTGGGATGGAAATATACCTTCAAAATCATGAAAGAAATCATCTCAGCTGGACTGGGTTTACTTCCTCCTGTATCACGTATGTGTAAGAAAAAGCTTTGTGGTCATTCAATCACAGAATGTTTCCTTCTAGATTTCATTTTAAAGTAGTCATGGCTTTGCAATTTCAAACCTATACATGGTTTCAGCCTCTTACGTTCTGACAAAATATTTAAATTCAGGTCTCTTTCTGCCAAATACCAACATTTCAAAAACAAGAATCAAGGCAGCCAAATATCTTTATAAATAATAGGCCATAGGTGGTACTGAAAATGATTACCATATACTCTAGAAATTAAGCTTAGGCCAAATTCCACCAGGGTTCCTAAGAAATAGATTCTCAGATAAGCTAGTTAAACAATAAGTATCATGGAAATAATAAGATAAGCAGTTACAAGGTTACAAGGCAGTGAGCCTCATGTGTCTCCCTGAGAATCTGCAAGGTATTTCTGTATCTGCTACATCCACTCCAATCTACAGACTGCAATTTCCGTTAGGGTTGGGCATGTCATTGTGAGATGTTAATGCATTATTAATAATTTGAAAAAAGTCAACCCTTTAAAGTCATTGTACCACTAAGCACAAGAGTTAAAGCTAAGAGGTAAAATGATGAGAAGAACTAACTTTCTTATCCTCATAGCTGATACAACATTCACATGAAAACTGGAATTGAATCCACTCCATTTGATAAATGCCCATCTCACATGCATGTAAATTTGTAAAAGAACAGAAAAAGAATAAAGTGAAATAGGAAAACAAATCAATCTAAGGTAATCAAGAAAGATAACTAGATAATGTAAAAAAAAAAACTCCATAGCAACAAAATAGAAGAGATTATTTATGTAGATAAATATGTATAACTAGATGAGCTCCAGATGTACTTTTTTTTTAAATCTACTTCTCCACAGGTGTTTTTCTGCTTAATAAATATAACATCCAAGTTGGAATATTGTTGAAGCATTGAATCACCTAGATTTTGGCTATGCTGTTCTGCTGTTAACTATTTTGAGCTATTTCTCAATAAAGCAGGCACTACTGAAATCATAAGTACATAGGCTTGGCAGCGCCTGAAAAAAAAGTGCAGTCCACAGATTTGTTTCTTCTGTTTTCCCAAAACAGAATCTCATAAAAAAATATGCCCTCAAATTCTGTCACTATGTAGCTGTCAGAAAGAGCAACTCTGTTCCTCTTATAACTCTGAACATTAAGCCCATTTCTTGTGCTACTGGGAAATTAGATAGCTCCAGGAAGTTGCAAGACACCATCACAACTGTTCAAATGGTATCCAGGCAGAATAATCAGTCAATCAGAAATTTCAGTCCTGGTCAGATGGAAGTTTTTTGGGCCAACTTGGACAAGCATACAGAACAAGTTTGACTTTACTGCCAAGATCATTTCCAGGACATTGGCTAATTAATTATAAAAGCTTTTTCAAAACAAATTTGAGCCTGGCAACCTTTTTTCCTACCCAAACAGAGAAAAAAAGGTGAAAAAATAAAAGCCCAGTTTACCATAGTTTCATCTTATTTGCAAATGCATTTTTCTTTTTTTATCCTAAAATGATGCAGAGCTTTTATATTTGAAGTTACTAAAATGATAGTTATAGATACTATAAATATTAGCTTGATTTCCTTCTGTACCATTGGTTGTAGAAGAGATCACGGATCAGTTACAAAACTCTTCTTCAAACTCTGATAAGAAACAAAGAATGGAGTTACTTCCTCTTTTGAGAAGGGAGAACTGACTGGATTAACCATGGCTACTGTAATAGATACAATTTCCATGGATAGCTGCTCTTATAATGATATATTCATTAACCTTCATTTTTTTGCTTTACCAACAAAAGAGAACAAAACTCCTGGATTATATCATCCTGCTTCATCTTAACAAGAAACTTGATGACCACAAGATGCTCGTGATAGGCACTGAAAATTCTGGTTTTAAGGACTCCATGTGCGTAGGTTTTATAGCAAAATCAATATCCCCAAATCATAATGTTCCAACATATTTCCTCAACTACTGGAATCAAAATCTTACACAGTATGCATCTTAAGCCATCGGACTTCTGCATTTGCCCAGATACAAAAAGACCAAGAAGTTAGGAAATTCCTCTCAGCCAGCACTTACCAGCTGCTTAGTGGCAAATTCCTGGCAAGACTATAGCTGTCCTTAATAAAAGAAGCCTTCCTTGCAAAGTCCATCAACCTGAAATATTCCTAACCCAATAAGTGTCCTGCCTTATCCAGGATTGAGACTCCAGGAAAACCTTCTGTGGAAAATAGTGAATAGAGACAAAATGTGCAGCATGGCCTTGAGGGAACTGCTAGTGGCCTAAGTTCTCCCTTTGCTACTATACAGGTATGTACCTACAAATGCATCTAATATTTCTAATGACCTTGTCCCTGATCATGTCAAGAGGTAGGCAGAAGGGGGCGTAGCTCAAGAAGCCAAGGATTTGTCTCAGTGTAAGGGGAGGAAAGTAAAGAAATCAGTCCTGATCCAAACACAGAGTCCCTCTCTTCTGGAGAAAATGAATGAATGAAAATAAGAAGGATAACACCAGGTTTCAGAGGATCTCAAAAGTCATATAGGAAATTCTGAACTTGATAGGAAGCCATTATAAGTTTTTAATCCAGTGTAGAAAAATGAAGGCAATAGTATGAAAAGTATAGTGAATTGAGAGAAAATAGGGATAAGGTATTAATTCCAAAGGCTTTTCTAGCAATTTCAGTCTGAGACAATGAAGGCCCTATTAGGGTAGTGCTGGGGAAGAGAGGAAGGAAGGGAGGGAAGGACGGAAGGAGAGAAGGACGGAAGGAAGGAAGGACGGAAGGAAGGAAGGAAGGACGGAAGGAAGGAAGGACGGAAGGAAGGAAGGACGGAAGGAAGGAAGGACGGAAGGAAGGAAGGAAGGAAGGAAGGAAGGAAGGAAGGAAGGAAGGAAGGAAGGAAGGAAAAAGAATGTAATGTATTGTATACCTTTCCTATACTTAATAAAATTCACCAAGGCCTATAAACCTCTGTCACTACTACAAGTGCTGCCAGGTTAAGAGGAACACCATCATAAATATGACTTGTAAAAAAACAGCAAAATGTGAAAAGAGGAATTTTTAAACTCACCTACTTTGTGTGTGTGTGTGTGTGTGTGTGTGTGTGTGTGTGTGTGTGTGTGAAAGAGAGAGAGAGAGAGAATAAGGTCACACAATTATATACGATCATTCAGTGCTATCCACAGAGGACTGGTTCCAGGACCTCCCTTGAATATCAAAATCTCAAGTCCCTTACATAAAATGATGTCGTATTTGCATAAAACCTACATACATCTTCCTATATAGTTTAAGCTAGTTCTAGATTACTTACAATATCTCATGCAATGTAAATAGTTGTTACACTATATTAATTAGAAAATAATGACAAAGAAAAAAGTCTACATGTTCAGTGCAGATGCAATTTTTTTCCAAATATATTCTATCCACGGTTGGTTGCATCCATGGATGCAGAACCCACATACAAGATTGCATGACCATACAATTAGCATGTCAAGCGTGAGGCACACTAGAAACACACTCTTCTATTACATCAAAAACAAAAAAGTAAATTATAAGACCAAGAATCAGATACTTGTTTTTCTGAGGTGAGGCATATATGACTGTCTCCTTCTAACAGAGGAGAAAGCTGGCGCCCACCATCACAGGGCTAGCCAGCTTGGGAACAAGTACCAAGACCAAATTGTCCTGCTTCGTGTTCTTGCTGTTTCTAGCATATGCTACGTTCCCTACAACCCTGGGGAAACAGGCCAGGACTTCTGTCATTTTTAAAATGTGCTGCTTTCATTTCTTTGAAGCTTTGAAGTTTTTTATGTAGGAAACATACTTTCATAAATTTCAATATACTATATTCTTAAAATATAATCTCCTTCCACAGATACCCACCCGACTGCAAAAATGGCACGGTTACTGGATGCCATATTCTTCGCAAAAGAAAGCGAACAGAGATTCACAGTCTGCTTGCTCTCCAAGCAGGCGACTTGCTGTATGTTTTAACACACAAATGAGCACACAGCTAGCGAGACAACCGAGCCATCACTGCCTTTGCCTGAAGTATCCCCCCAAATTGTTACCACGTATCAGCATTTCTTAGCCCTCGACAGTTTACCAAAACACTTTTGCATAAATTCTCTTTGAATCCCCACGATAAATCTGAGTCCGAGAAGATTACTGTGTTAAAGCAGAGACAACTGTTGCTCCAGGATGTAACTTGTCCGAGTGAACACACAGAGGGCGGGCTAGAGGAACCACCGGCTTCTGCTCTTCTGAATCCAGCTTCCTTCACGGTCCCTCCTTCCTTCAGAAAAACTGCAAAGTCCCCTCCGCACATGACGGTCCGTCACCTCTAATCCTTTCCCAGAATAGTCTTACATTTCAAAGCAGCAAGCATTCTGTGCTTACCTGGTCCTTCTCCGGTTTATCAGAAATGTCATTCAGACTGGAGGAAGTCAGATTCCTATGGGTCATGGCTGGGCTACCTGGAAAAACACAAGTGGACTCTAATTAAACACTCCTCGCCCAAACACAAAGACTCTGTTTGCATAGTTCACAAACACTAGTAGATGCGGATGGGAATGGTGATGATGCTCTCAACCACATTAGGGTTCTCTTCCAGACTGTTCCACAGTCTAAGTTGGAGTATGAACATAATTAATGAAAAGTATATAAAATCCCAAATGCCTTAAGATTTATTGCCTGGTTCTATTTTAAGGTAAGTTAAACCTTGAAAGCAACTTCTAAAACAAGTAGCATAAAAATAAATTGACTCCTGGTTTGGGTCACTGTTTGTCACTGCTCTTTACACACACGCCAATCTCTCCCTGGTTTTCTTTCCTTTTTCTTTTTATTGCCTATAGAGATCAGCAATTTCCTCATCTTCTGCAGAGCCAGCCCAGGATGTGGGCCCAGGTCTCTTCTCCCCCAGGCCTCAGCAGCCCTTCCCAGGGTACTACTTGCTCCGATCCACCTCAAACCCACCTGCATTCTGCCTAATAGGTTGATCAAGAATATTTCTCCTCAGTGGGCTTCTCATCTAGATCCCTTGACTTTTATCTCCAAGTAGTGATATCACAGGCTACCTGAGTCTCTGCATCCCCACCCCCCAACCTGCCAAACCTCTTCTTTCAGTCAAAGCATGGACGTTATCAGGAATATCATGGGGAAACCAATCTCCTATCAATACAGCAGCTGTAGGTAAGATTCATTGGTGATCCATCCAATGATTTCAGGCAGTCACACACAAATAGAGGGGAGGGACATCTAGAACGGCCATAGATCATTTTCAAGTACACCATGTTAATCAACAGAATGCCGAACTTTCACTCTGCAGTTGGACCTGAAATTTCTGGGCTTACTAAGCAAAAGAGTAACTTTTCAAAGCCAAGGTGTTTGACCCAACCTCTGCAGGGTGCTGAGCAATGCATTCATCCTTAATCCTCAATGATCTGACTCAGGCTGGGCTTCACAGCAAGAGGACAAGGGTTGAAAAGAAGCACAAAAGTTCTAACCCAGCTTCACATTTGCTTCCAAATCATTCTTTAGTTTACAGACTTGAATTCCTTTGCACAGAAACTTCAACATATAATTTAACAAAAGACTAAAATTTACTCCTAATAAGTTAATGTCTGTATAACAGCAGTTCTTTAAATAATATAATTCCTCTTAACTACTAGATCAGAAAAATTATAATTTCCTTGAGCTGACAAGACAGGATATTTTCCACTCTGCTGCATTTCATTGAGTAAGCATGGCCTAGATCTCTTAAATCTTTTACCTGGTAGGGTGTTTTCCCTAGGAAAATTTGAGCACAAGGCATTATTGAAAAGAAAGTAACATCTGAAAATGTGCTTTATGAGCAAAATTAAAAGAACCCCTTTAAAGGCTCCATTTTCTTCTTTGAACCACAGACTAGATTTCTAGTGTTCACTCAATACAAAAGACACCAGATACAAAAAACTTGAATGCCCCCAAATAAGGCCAAGATTGAAACTAATAGAAAATGATGAGTAAGTAGGATTTTATACTTTACATTTAAAAACAAAACCAGTTACTTGGACTAACTGGATAGAAGTTCTGTCTGAATAAATGAAGAAATCTGAATTACACATTCTTAAATTAATGAAGCCTTAGCAATCCTAATCATAGTAGCTTATGTAAGTGAATGGGTAAGACTAATTTCTAAACATCAAATCAATTATATGTAAATAACAGTATTAAAATAATTTTAAAGCAGTTTTTCATTAAGTAATTTAAATTTCCTGGGCAATAGCCGAAAGTCATTGGTTTGGTTTATAAACTCTTTATAAATACTGCAAAGGTGCATTTCAGCTCAAGCAAAATCTAAATAGATAGAAGCCAAATTAATAAAGATTTTATGAGAATGGTAATCTTGATTAATGTGACAACTTTTCCAAGAAACCTTATATATATTGTCTCATCATTTCTCTCATTTCTGAAAGACAGTTATTGTGTGGCTATCTAGAGTTATACCATGTGAGGGGCAGAAAAAGGCACAGGTCCAAGAAAGGTATAGGAACCAACTGAGGAAGAGAAGACTAGCCCTAAAAGAAAATCCAATCTATTGCTCCTGCTAAACTTATCTGATTCTCATTAATAAAAGTGATTAGTATTGACAGCTTCACTAATATTTAACACTATAAGAGTTTGCTAGTCAACACTTCCAGGTAACTAAGCAAAATCATCAGCATTTTTCAATCTTTTCCCACCTTCCTCCCTACCAAACTCTCCCCAAGACCTGGAACCAGAGACAAATCCTTCCCAGTGCTCTGAATCTCTGGCTCCCAAAGTGTGGGTCCAGACCAGCACCACCACATCACTCAGAAATGCAGATTCTTGGGACTCACACCAGACCAATTCTACCAGTACTCTGGATATGAGGACCACCAATAGGGGGCTTAACAAACTCTTCAAGTGATTCTGAAGCATGCTAAAGATTAAGAGTCACTGCTCTATCTAAACTTGTTGTCTTAGCAGAATCTATCTTCATGGCAATCTGAGTTGAAAAAGGCATATATAAGCTGGAGGAGTACAGACAGAGGAATAATTCGAATAAGCTTGCCCTCTTCTAAGCCACTTCTCTAAACTATCATATCTCAAGCAAATCATTAAATTAGCACCTTTGCCACATAAACACACAAAAAGGATCATATCTGGCTGTTCCTCTGAATGCTCACCTAAACAACAAAATAAATAACTTTGTTTTGGAAACGCACTGTTTAATCAACCTTTTCCAGAAGCATGCCACCCAAATCAAAGAAGAAAAGGACAAGAGCCAGAAGAGATTAAAAACCAGATTATATGTAGGAATCAGAAATATGTGTGTGGCATTTTAGCTAACCTGGGAAAAAGCTGTGACTTAACAGGCCCCTAACAATGCTCTATTGTAGATATTTTGCACATGACATTCAATAAGACACACTGTCAGAATAAACCACTGCTTTCTATTTAGAATTTTGGCCCATAAACTCATTCTACTGCAATCCTGAGTGAGTGGGGAAAATAAAGGAAAATGTCACCTAATACTAAAAAGGTGAAATACAAGGATACCCTAAAGTAAGTTATTTCTCAGCAGGTGGTCATTCATTCACTCAAAGCTACAGTTAGTAGGCCCTGTTCATCTAAAATCCAGGGCATACAAATGGCTTATGATGCTTCTTGGTCCAAAGAAACATTTTTTTTTTTAAATTTGATTTTATAAAAAAAAAAAAAAGAAGAAGAAGAAGAAGAACCAGTTTCAAGTGCATAATCATAATTAATTTCCATATCACTGTTCTCTGGCCATAAGGAAAAGCAAGCTTGGGAGAATCACATTTTCAAGCAGTTTCACACAATCAAAAACAATTTCATTTTCAAAGTACCCACTTGGCAGGTACATACTGTTGCTACAAAAATTAATTACATTCTGTACTAAGTTTGAAAATCACTGTTATACTTTAGCACACATGTAGCAATTCATAAAATCCTTTGCAGTTGTATCTATTAGAGACAATCAAAAGGGTGAAGAGAATGTGCAGCACAGAAAAGGATGATATTGGAATGTGTACAAATTAAATGGAATATGTAAATATCATGTAATACAATGAGAAATAAAGGGACAAGCTAAAACAAAAATCTCGTGGCCTATGAAATAAACTGGGTCTTGTATTCTTAATAAATTTTAGCATAAAAAATAATGAAAGTAACTTACATATAACAGACAGAGAAGTGAATCTGGTTGTTCATGTCATAAAATTTGGAGGTATGGATTATGATTGGCACTGCTTGGGATCACAAAACTAACTATAAATGTAGTTTCAGAATGATGCATGTTAATGTGTTCTATACTTCTACTGATCCATTGACCCACCTATTTTCCCTCCTTTATTGATATAACAAACCTACTAGAAAATGGCTCTATCCAAAATTAATAGTCAACTAACCTTTGCACATACTTGGTATTTAAACTTACATTATCTTACTTAATCCTCATATCAACACTGTGGGGTTAGTATTATTATTACCACTTTATGATAAACAAATGAACTTCAGGAAGGTTAAGTTAATGGTCACATAACAAGTGGTAAAACTATAATTTAAACCTGCATCTTTTAATAGCAATCCATCTTTTAATAGCAATCCACTGCCAACATAGATTAGAAAACTAATCTATGTTCTTTACATAAACATAAACTTCATCATGTCTAATGAAGAGAAAATGTAATGCACAACCACAAAGAATATATTCTATTTCCATGCCAATCATGTGCAGTATAACATTGCTAAGTATGTTTAAAGCAGACATGTTCCTGGTTTCCAACTTAGCTGTTCCCAGAGATAGAGTTTGTATTTCTTTATTTTTTCATTTTCATAAAGAAAAAAAAGGAGAAAAAATACTGAACTCAGATACTTTCTTTGCCACTATAAATAGTAGTCCCAAATCAAAGCTCCGTGACAAAGAAAAAAGGATGCTAAAGGCAATAGCAATATAATTATAAAAGAATACTGCATGCTTCTGAATGTCTTAATTCATAGTCATAGCCAAGTGGTTGTAATATTCCACAAAATACACACAGCAATTCTCCATTACTTCTATATTGGTTTTTAAGATTTCAAGTTATTTCAACTACAATTTCTTCCCATTTCACCCACTAAAAGCAGGAATACAATGGGACAAAGAGAATAAATCACTCAGGATACTTACAATGAGTTTGATGAGAAAGTCTAAAAGGAAAGGCTAAAAGATAAGTTGGATTTTTGTCAGACCAGTTTCATAGTTTTCCATGATAATATGTTCTCAAGAGCTGCCCCCACCAAAAATAGTAGTAAAATAAGCATGTCAGTAAGACACTCAACCCGTTCCCATTTACCACCCCCCAAATAAAATGCAAAAATATTTAAAATGTAAATATCAGACTAAAGAAAGTTAAAAATATCATCAGTCAAAAGGAGCCCTTTGAAGGAATTCTATAACTAAGAAAAA